CTCCTATGGCACACTCCTTTCCTCAAGCCTAGCATCCCTATTCCATTGCCCTGCAAGGTCTTCGCTTTACAGCTCAGTCCTCCCAACCTCACACTCACCCTACACCGCCTGCCCTCTAAACTAGGCTCACTTGCTTCAGCAGTTCTCCAGCTGGTACTCTCCTTCACCATGCTCCTGCATCCTCAGCTGGAAGTTCAAGTCCTGCACTGATGAGCAATCCACAGACAGCAGAGCTGAAGAGGAGACCCACTGCTTTGCACAGTAGCAGCAGAGACCAGCAAGCACTAGCCAGCAGAGATCCTGCAACTACTGACCTGCTCAGGAAACAAATGAATGAAAGCACTTACCCCAAGTCTCAAAGAGACTGCAGGTACAAGTAAAGTATGGATCTGCCGGTGCTACAGGCTCAGCTGCAGGACAGTTTGAGATTCTCTGCATTACATTATTAGGAAACTTTTCTGAATGTTCTTCCTAAAATGTAAAGTCATCATAAAGGACAGTTTCCTGCAAACAATTCCAGTTTAAAAAAGCAACTGTTAAAAAATTCCCTGAGTGTCCTCAATAAACGATGGAGAAAAACCTGATGGAGTTTGGGATAAATGATGCACATGTAGTGCTGTGCATCCACTCTCTCATGCCGATGTTTCCGACAAGAGACATGGGCTCCCTGTTGCATAAGAAGAAGTGTCTCAGAGGAGGCCTTGATAACTCTCATGAGAGACAGAGGGGAAAAAAACATGCAAAACCTAACAAGTTTCACTTTCAAAGGAAAACAACATTTCCTCCTGGAAATTTTCAGTGTCATTAACTTGAGGTAAACAGGTACATACCAGCCGCCTGTCCACAGCTGGTGTGGAAGCATGCATTCGTGCTCCACAGGCTGCTCCAGCCTGTTGCAGTGACAGCAGGAAAGTTACTTGCTGAACCAACTGGGGAATTTAGAGAAACAAAGTCTTCTATAGCTAGATCCATGGAGACTTTTTGAGCATGGTCAGCATATCTAAATCAACTGCAGGATTCCTGATGCGTTGGAAAGGGGCTTTGTTGTTGTTTGTAATGCACTTATTTACTCAAGAAAGCTCAGCTCTGATTCAGCATCTGGTTCTCATTGAGGCTCAGCTTTTTTTAAACCAAGCTTTCCAGATGGGTTGACTGAAGCACAAGAAGGTCAAGAGACTTGTCTGAGGTCATACAGCAAGTCAGTGGCTCTGCTTGGACCCGAGCCCAGAACTGTTCAAGGCTACCACTCCTTGGCTCTTAAAGAGACAATTTTATCCCCTGTGAAGTGATCTTATCACCATGAAGAGGAGATGCAATAAAAGCAGTCCCCTCAAAGCTGCAGCCTGCTTAGAAAGAGTTATTTCATTTGGAAAAAGCCGTAGCGTTCCAGTGGCTCAACGGAGCAAGTCAAACCGAAGGGGTGTGATACTGATCTACAGTGTCATCCACACCACTCTTGTATAACCCCGTGCTCCTATGGGGCAGCTTGACGCCGCTGCTGCTGCTGCCGCCGTCCCTGGTTGTCCACTCACATCCCATCTAGCAGCACATCATGTCATGAAATACATTGTCGGTTCGGCACAGGTTGAAGCCCCTTCTCAAGGTGAGGAAACTCAAGTGCACTCAGGACCTAAAGCAGAGCCCAAGCACTTGTTGCCACGGCCTGGACATATGGGGCACAGGCAGCACATCCCAGCTGACTGACCCACAGACCCCCTAAGCTCAGCTCTGTTCTCCATAACCTCAGAGTGCACTCTTTAAGCTCAGCCACAGGCTGGGCTAGAGCAAGCAGTTGACAGATCCCATGGCAAAGGCACACCTGCTCCACACCAAGAAGGAGATGACAGGTATTGGGTTCTCCCACAGAAAGCATGGCTCGGCTCTACCTTGTTTTTCCAGAGGCAGGGCGAGAACATCTCAACAGAAGGAACATTGCCAGAAGCTACACAGACTCAGACAGGTAAGAGGTATAAAGAACTCGAGAAAACATAGATGGGTCTCACATGTCACTCAGCAAAGCCCTTTACAAACTGGATCAACCTGTAGCAGTCTCTGATACTTAGGAACACAGACCATTGCTCAAGTCCTTCCTATAATAAATTCAGCATCTTAAAGGAGATGCAAGCCACAGAGTGCTAGGGCATGTTGTGTTATTACTCTAGCACTGTTCTAAGGATGAAAAAGCCAGGTTTTAAACTACAGTATTCTGTTTAATATATTAATAGGAAATGAAACCCTGAAAATGGTGTAGATGCCAAAAGCAAGCATAGGTGCAGCCAACTCTTATTCTTACGAGATGCATACCCAAAAATCTTTTGTGTAGCCAAGAACCACAGAATAAATACCACATAGCTCTAGGAGCACAGGGAAGAGATAACAGAGACTCTCCAGGCTTCCCAGTGTGGGATGGGGTTAGACCCTGCGTGCCGCTGAGTCCAATGACAACTCAGTGACGTCAACCTCAGCAGCTATTGCCTGCTCAGTTCCTCTCTCAGCCAGGGATGTATATTAACCAGTGGCCTTCGTGTCAACACAGCCTTGCTGCTGCAGCAGCAGAATGGGAGCCATACGCGAACTGCTGGAGGCTCTCACAGAACTCAAGAGCCATGGGAGGGCAATGCTTGAGCTAGCTGGATGCATTACTCCAATGCTGAAAGCCTTTCCCAACTCCTACTGAAAGGGCACATACATTTTCTTTTCACAGATTCACAGATAAGATGTTTTGCAGGCTGCAAAAAGAGGCACAGCCTGTTGAAAACCAGGCTTGCTCTCTCTCAGGACTTCAAAAGACCACACTGGTGTGACTAACTTTGTGGCATTCTAAATCTGATTCAAATACCACTTTGGAAAGTTGGTTTTGACCAAATGTTTGAGAGACGCTGGAATGGGGCATCCAGATCAGGGATTAGTTTCACAGCAAGATAAACGACAGCCCAGTTTTCCACGTCTCGGAGACTGTCCCTTCCAAACCACAACACACTGTGAACCAGTTCACGTGTCTCCAGGGGCAGACTGCTTGCTTCTTCAGCAACAGGCGGGGAAGAGTCACTGCACACAGGACAGAGGGGCTTCTTCATCGGAGACCTGTGCCAAAAGCCAAAGGAAATCCTCCATGCAGGGCTGGGAGGGAAGGGATTGGGCACGACAACAAAACGCTCCATGGGGAACAGTGCCTTGGACACTCATCTGTGGCTCGGTACTCATTTTTCCTGACAAACAATAAAGAATCCCTTAACAGATCCAAATGCCAAGGCCCATCCCAGGGTCAGGCTGTGGAGAACCACTGGCTGAACTATTCCATTCTCGGGTTAAATTTTTGGGTTGGTTTTTGGTTTGTTTTGTTTTTTTTTTCTCTCTCTGTTTTGTTTTCAAATGTAAATGGCTGACCGGCTCCCCCTTTACAACTTTGTTGCTCTCCCAGTTCAGACAAAGGCAGCGGAGCTCCTCCTGTGTGCGCTGTGCCCCGGGGCAGCGCCGGCCGGGCCAGCGGGCTGCGGCCACTGCCTGCGGTCCCGGGCCACCGGACAGCTTTAACCGGCCCCACTTCTGCGGGCATTGCTGGATGCGTTTCCAAGGCAGAGACATCGGAGAGGTGCGCTCCTCCCAGCGGGAAGGGCTCGAGTTACAACCAGTTCCACCGCTTCGCTCCAGGGCTCCTCCACCGAGGTGGTTCGTTCACCTTCCTTCCCTCTGCTCTGAGGATCTGGCCAGAGAGCCAGGGGCCTTCAGCTAACGCTGGTGAAAAGGTGGCACTGGGGAAAACCCCGTTCAACACACACCGCACTTGTTGAAAATCTCCTGGTAGCTGTTATTCCTGCAATTTGCTAAATGACATTCATAGCCCTATCTACATTTCTACAGGCTAATCTTCCTGTTACAGCTTCTTTAATCCTCCTGCTGTTTGGTGATAAAGAATATCAGAATTCCCTCATCTCTCTGATGACACACAGAGGGCCAAACCTTTGCCCAGCCACAAGCCACATCCCTGCCCAAGACAGTAAGTCTCACTTACCTGTGAGAAGAATTGCAACAGATCCCACCATTAACAGAACACCAACTCCCTTAGCATGAGACAAACTTTCTGTCCCTCTCTGAAGTCAGCAAGTGTCAGCTTCTTCATATGCAAGTGGATACACGCTCTCCTGTTGGGCTTGCACAGAAGTGCTGCCTACTGCCAAACCTCTGCCACCACTGACAAACTCTGCATGGGCTGTGATTTCCATTTCATCCCTACTCTACAGGGGAAGGAAGGCAAGGAAGAAAGAATCAGGGGCTTTAGACATCCTGCTTTTATTTTGTTTCTTTGAAGAGCAGGGTGTCTTCTTTTCTTTTTTTTTTTTTTTTTTAAAGAAAACAAAATCAAGATTCTGGAGTGTGGTTTTCAGACCTGATGGCATCTAACAGCTGTCTTTTGTTGTGAGGAAGTTAGTCACAAGTCTGAGATGCTAACTAGGACTGTTTGACAGAGGAGTTGCTAGCAAGTCTAGCATGATCTAAATATACTCCACAACATTTCAGACAACTACTCCTAGACAACAAGGAGTGTGAGAACAGACTCCAGGCTTGTTGTCATCTACAAAATGAGGAGCTGATATAAGCCACAGATGGCCATTTGTGCCACAGAAGAGAAGACACTGGTGATAAGCAGAGTGGAAGAAAGTAAAAGCTGTAACAAAAAGCAAGGAGATCCCTGGAGAAACCTTCAGTGACCCTGTTGCTGATGAACTGGAAGAGCTAGAATAGCAGCAGCTAACACAGAACAGCTACCTTCCCAGGAAGTAAATGCAATCCCACACATTCTCTTCCCTCCACCTGCCAATCTTTAGGAAGAACGGGCATCTAGCATAAGCAAAATCCATCAGGATACTCCTACTGTTTTATCGCTGCTGGCAGTCTGCTGCCTTAGACAACAGCCTGCTTAGCTGGTGCCTGGAGCCAGTCTTCTGGAGCACCACTCTTGGATAACTAAACCCCCACCTTCCCCTCCAGGGACTCCCTACCCTCTGTATGTGGAGCCGGTGGAACTGGTCGGCAATGCACTGCAGCTTCCGTGCAATCTGCACCTCGGCACGCGCTTCCCGCTGACCTTCCCCAGGCTCCTCTTGGAGGTGCGGATCCAACGCAAAGCCAACCGGAGGGACGTGTAAACGATAACCAGCATTCCCTAAAAAACAGAGATCAGGAGAGTCATTCTTCCAGAGCAAAGAACAGCTCTGCTACTCAGTACATGCACTTTACAGAGGGAGAGCTGCACATAATCCTAAATTTTTGACTCAAGTTAAAGTCCAGTTCCTGAAGCCCAAACAATGACTGTGTACCACAAGCATGCAGTAAAACATTTGCTCAGCTTTTAAGTAGATTTATATCGATTAAGCAGAGCATTGTGTTGCTTCCCATAATCAAATGACTGGCAGGATCTTAGACTTGGTTCCTTTTGCTTGTTTATAGTTCAGCCAAGTACTGGTTTGGCTTTTGGTTTTTTTTTTTTACTGACAATTCTGCAGCTTTACAAGATCTCTGCCTCAAGTTGTCTCCCATTAAAGGTTGCCATATCTTTTCTGTCAGACTTTTCTCAGTTCTCTGGCATTTAGTGGGACTGACTTGAATTAAAGCTGAATCAGATACACAAAGCTGAGAGGTGTCCCATCAGTTACTAGTAAGATACTGGATGGACATGCTACTTATTCAACAACTTTAACTCCAGTAAAGATCCTAAAAGCTGTCCTACTAAGTGTGCATTTTTGCATTTCCCTCTCTCGGCTGAAAACTTTTAGGAGTCTTCCTACATGGCCAAGACAACACTAGAACTTAAAAAATGCAGGCAAATGGTACAATACGAGGTATGGTGAACACTTAAGTGTCCAGCAGTAAAATAAAATGTGACAGAATAAAGCCAAAAAGAAAAACAGTGGGAGTATTAAGGGCAGCGGAAGCAATGAGCAAGTGCCTAGTTCCTGCAGTGGACGAGCAAGTGTAAGAAAATACAAGCTGTCTTTCCTGAGGGAGTAGGACCAAAGGAAAAATAATTTCAGTCCTTTCATTAAATTCCCTAATGAAAGAAACCTTGCTTGATTGGAGAAGTGCTAAAGGGACAGTTTCCTTGCTGCAAAGCTGGTGACACTGGAGTGCTCTTACCATAGAAGAGTCTCCGGGGCTCTTCAGTGACTCCACAAGGCAACATAACATCCTGACTGGAAGAGGACGGGCTGAGTGTTTGAGTTGCCTTGTCCTGCTGCTCAGGATGCCTGATACCGGGACCACAGCAGTGTGTGAGGGGGAATAGTTGAAATCTCCCCAGAAGGCAGCTGTAGGACTGGTTCTGTGTGAAAATGCCAGTTGCAGTCATCTCACCAGGCTGACCTGCAAGTCCAAAGTCATCAGAGTGAAACACGTCATCGTCCAGCCCATCCAGGCTAGAGTAGTCCTCTTCCAGGTAGCTGGGGCGATCCATTGCTCCTGCAATAAAGGGACATTTGAGGAAACAGCTAAGACACAACAAGAATGTTGTCCAGGAGAGAATGCCTTCTGCTCCAACAATAAAACACAGCTCTTTTTTCCAGACCTGCCTGTCTGACTCCCTCCCTCCCAATGCTGCCCATCTGCATGGGCAGGAGAGGTGAGTGACTCAGTGCTGAAGGTCAGGGCTTTGTGGAAAGTCCTTGAGTGCTAGGCCAGAGGGAGACAAAGTTCACATGTGTCTAAGAGTCCACCCACTGCTCCAATTCCACAACTGGTCACAAGGAGTGAGCCAACCCCCAACCTCAGTATGTAAAAACTGAAAAGACATTGTTCTAAAAAACAACCCCAGTGCTTCCAATTGCCCCATGGCCAGTCAGCTTCTTTGAGGTCTGCTTTGCTTTAGCCTGCTGCATTTGAACTTTATGGTATTCTCTCTCCACTTTTTCCCGTCTATTACTTATTGATGAAGAAAAGCTCTTGTAATCACAAGGCTGCAAGGCCAGACTTTCAAGAAACCCCAGTGGCAAAATGCACAAGAGCTGGCAAAGCCATTTCTGTGAAGCTCTCCATAACTTCTCTCTGTAAGGGCCAACTTTCCTTTCAACTTCTCATTTCTTTCCTCAGCTCAACTTAAGACGTGTCCCAAACTTGGCAATACATTCACTTCATTACCCCTCTCATCCTCAAGCCCACATGCACTGTCAGTGCATTAGTTGACCCTAATGACGAAGAAGAAAAACCCATTGCTGGTGTCAGTGCTTAATGCAGGACTTTGGCAGTTGCCACAGTAAACACTCCTGAGCTCTGTTGCAGCACAAAGTTGGACAAAGATGGTGAAGGAAAAAAAACCCCAATAAATCGCAAATCAGTATTTCAGAGCTCTTTGCAAACATATAGCAATTAGAAGCAGATTTACCAAAAAAGCCACAAGTCCCTTTACTGTTACCTGCGCATCTAACCCAATTGGAAGACAGTCTCCTAAGAGATCCATCCCCAGGATTTCCACCCAGTTCCAAACAAGGCAGTGAAATTCAACTCTTCATGTCTCTTCCTTTACTCTGGTTTGCGAAGCATTTAACAGAACGGAAGACTAGCAAGAGGAATTTCAGGCCTGAAGGAGACATTAATAATAATTTTATAAGGATGTGTCCAGCGCTCCCCTTGGTGCTCCCATCTCCCCCCAGGTGAGCAGCCCTCACACCACCAGCAGGCTAGAGGAGACAAAGGGACCAAGCAGCACAAGAACTGTGCTGGGCTCTAAGTTGGGGGCACTACCATTATTTAAGCTGTTGCATCTCAGCC